GATTTATAGGCTACTTATCAATCCTGTTTTTATCATCATTATAATTTAAACAATGAATAAATTCAGAACAGGATTATAATACAATTCTATTTTAAATAAGACAGAAATATTTTTTCTACAACAACAACAGTAGCCTAGTGTTTACAACAGCAAAACCACCATACCCTGTAAACTCAATAATAATAATAGGCCTAATTTAATTCCATTAAATTAATTAAAATTTTCAGAGTGATTAAGAGGTGCAAAGAAATATTTATTTAACTTTTAAACTATAAAATGGTCTTTTCTGTTCTGTGTTTCTTTTTCAAAACTGCGTCACGGCATTTGCTGCTATCAATACAGAAGCATCCGTTTCGATACATGTCTCAGCAAGGAGCACAACCCGATTAAAAGCTGTGCTCCATGTGCCCCTTTTATACTTTGAGCACCTGCCCCTCCAAAGGTCTCTGCACGGTCCTGATGAACAATCATAATATAAAACATAAATATAATGGGTTTGCGTACATAGTAAGGCACAATTGTTGTTAATGTTGCTATTTATAAGCCTGAGGGATGAAACAAAGAGTTAAATTCAACAAGAAAAAGACGAAAATTAAGATTTAAGCTGGTTTTGCTTGTGGATGAAAGATTTTGAACATAAAATAAAGAAATTAACATATTGAAAAGACAACAATTTGGGGTTTTCATAATAAAATATAATATATTTAAGGATAAAACTGTGGGTCATATTAGTAGGGTTAAAAATATAAAAACTTTATATTTTTTGGTTGTACTTCAATCACAATAAAAGGGCAGCTGTTTCTTAAGACCACAAAATGAGCAAATTTCATCAACATCAAAACATTTACAGATAGATGAATTCTATCTAATAAACCTGTCGCTCGTATCTTTTATGTTGTTGCGCTTGTAACGTCATAGGTCACATGATAATGTCAACATGGCGAATGAAGTTCGGATCTCATTCATACTTAACGAGATTTGGCTGTAGAGTATGTACTTTTTTAGCGCTTGTTAAGTAAGTACTTACTGAAATTAAGTACCTACTCATTGAGTATGCGATTTCGAACGCAGTCATTGATTAGATCTTTTTTCATAGGTGCCTCACTGCATTGCCTCTTACATAAATCTTACTTATTTAATCAAATACTAATTTAATATGTACATTGGTTTAATAATCTAAGTAATGAAAAAGTCTGGTAAAAATAGTTTAAATTGAGCTTTTTTCTCAGTAGATTGCAGAGTAGTGCTCCCACACAAACTGAACAAACTTTTTGAGTCATTTGTTGTTTGTTAACCTTTCAGTCCTTAACAGAGCTACCACTGACACATCTGAATGAAACCACAAACAAAGACCACTATATTAAACTGTGATATATATCATCACTGGCTGTGTTACAAACACACCTTAGTTCCTGGCAGGCCTGGAAGCCCAGGTTCACCTTGAGGCCCAAAGAATCCAGGTTCACCCTGCGAACAGAAGCAACACATGGAACTGTCTGTCAATTACTAGGACTCAAGTCAAGTATCTAAATTAAAAATGTGGAATACTGTAGACAAAAAAACATTCCATAGCAGGTGTGTATATTTGTCATTAAAGATGACCAACATTAATATAAAATGCTGATGTAAAAGCATTCATGGTACTACACGAGAAGAGGAATGATGCAAAATATCTAGTGCTAAATAAAACACTGTATCTTTGTACTAGCATTGATATTTTCAACACGTTCTCACGCTCAACTCATTACTTATTGACGCTTGGTCAGGACAACTTGGCGTTATATTTGATGCACAGGGCACCCCTTTAGCGTTATTTTTCAACGTGCAGGGTCCTCCATGCAGGGTCCTCCTGCTTTAAATAAGGGACCCTTAGCCTTATATATTGCATATATGTTGGGGTGTGATTTTTCAATATAAACAGTCACAACAGTTTTATTTATATTACACTATTTACACATTTATGAGCACGTAACCCAACCCTTGACCCTAAACCTACCATTTGTCAATAAAACACAAGATATAACAGGCAGATACTGACTGTAGAGTCATAATTTATTTAAAAAGTATTAATATTCCAAGTCTTCCGAGGCAAAATGATTGATTTGTGATAGTGATGTGTCGTTCACGAATGAGTCTGCGCTGGACCTAAGAGCCGATTCTTTGTAGTGAACAAGAAGAGCCGATTCCTGTCGGGGAGAGCCGAATCTTCAGCTGGAGCCTTCTATTTTAGCCCAATTTACATTACATTACATTTACATTTAGTCATTTAGCAGACGCTTTTATCCAAAGCGACTTACAAATGAGGACAATGGAAGCAATCAAAATCAACAAAAGAGCAAAAAAAATGCAAGTGCTATAACAAGTCTCAGTTAGCTTAATGTAGTACACGTAGCAAGTTTTTTTTAAATTATATAATAAATAAAAAGAAAACAGATAGAATAGAAAAAGAATAGAGCAAGTTAGTGTTAGTTTTTTTAAAGAAAACAAGCAGTTAGTAAATTAATAGAGTGCAAGTCTAAACGTTTTTTTTTTAAAGAATAGAATTAGGATAGAGAGTGCTGGAGTTAGAGGGTCAAATAAAGATGGAAGAGATGTGTTTTTAGCCGATTCTTGAAGATGGCTAAGGATTCAGAAGCTCGGATTGAGTTGGGCAGGTCATTCCACCAGGAGGGAACATTTAATTAAAAAATCTGTTGAAGTGATTAGTGCTGGGACAATAAATCGATGCATCGCGATTCGTGGATCGATTCTGAGATTATCGGAATGCATCGTTGATTCTCTCTCGAATCGATTCTGAGCTTAGTTTTTAACAGCAGATGGCGATCTAGGTTCGTTTTTAACCACACACTCAAATGCTTACGAAGAAGAGCGCTTGTGCGTTCGGGTGAGTAATGTAAGGGGTTAAATGTACTTGCACATCGGCTTTTATGTTTCTAATGCTTTTATGATGCGAGATTAATGTAAACACAGCTCAATGTGAACATCCTTGTAATTCGCTTCAACCTTTTCGAACTTTATGAATTATTATTTTAGGTTCAAGTGGACTGTAAAAAGATGGACTAATGAAGGAGAGCAGGATTTACAAGCTTGTTTTGACCTCACTGATTGGAGCGTTTTTGAAGCTGCTGCCACCAATCTGGACGAAAATCTGGACGAACTCACAGAGACTGTAACATCTTATATCAGTTTCTGTGAAGATATGTGCATTCCTACCAGGACTCATTTAACCTACAACAATGACAAACCATGGTTCACTGCAAAACTCAGACAGCTCCGTCAGGCCAAAGAAGATGCTTACAGGAAGGGGGATAATGTCTTGTATAAGCAGGCTAAATACACACTGGAAAAGGAGATCAGAGTGGCAAAGAGGAATTATTCTGAAAAACTAAAGATTAAATTCTCTTCCAGTGACTCGTCGTTAATAAAGAAACTCCCATATGAGGGACGTGTTTTTCAGCAAAGCTCGTGTCTATGTATAAATTCTCATCTTCAAACATGACCGCTGGGAATTCACAGCTGTGGACGGAGCAGCACTCTGTTCCACGTGCTTTGCTGCTTTTACGAGAAAAAAAAAAGTCTCCACTTGTTTATTAGCAAATAGAACATAAGACAAATGAATTGTCAGAGTCACATGCTGAGGTAAAGAGAAATTGCTGCAGGAAGAGATGCTACCCCAAGGCCAGGTCAGAAAAACACCAGCAGGCTAATTCACCCCCGCGCTGTGCTAACAGTAAAACATGCTCTTTATTCCCCAAACAAAGACCTTTGTTTCCAGATTATTTTCCTCTAAATTAGGACAATCTCCCTGCATTTTCCTTAAAAACTGTGAGATTACACGGCATTTGTCTATCATGTTTCAAATCCACAATAATACCCCCACCCCAAAGAACCACATAAAATAAATGGTTATTTAAGAAGTAATACATAATTTGTTTGTTTTGTTGTGTTGTGTTGTGTTGTGTTGTGCTGTTGTGTTGTGTTGTGCTGTGCTGTGCTGTGCTGTGCTGTGTTGTGTTGTGTTGTGTTTTGGTTTGTTGTGTTGTGGTTGTGTTGTGTTTTGGTTTGTTGTGTTGTGTTGTGGTTTATTTTGTTTTGTTTTGTTGTGTTGTGGTTTGTTGCATTTTGTTTTGTCGTGTCGTGTCTTGTCTTGTCTTGTCTTGTCTTGTCTTGTTTTGTTTTGTTTTGTTGTGCTGTGGTTTATTTTGTTGTGTTGTGTTGTGTTGTGTTGTGGTTTGTCTTGTTTTGTTTTTGAAAGAAGTCGCGTATCCTTAAATGACAAGGCTGCATTTATTTAATAAAAAAACAACAACAAAAACAACAACAACAACTGTCTATTGTCATATACCTGCACACACAATTGTCAATTTATATATTTTTATTCCTTATTTACTTGTTCTATTTTTATTTTTATTATCTGTGTTTTTTGTTCTGTCACTGTCATTCTGTTACACTGTGGAGCTTCTGTCACGAAAACAAATTCCTCGTATGTGTAAACATACCTGGCAATAAAGCTCATTCTGATTCTGATTCTGATTCTGATTCTTCTTCTGAAGTGGTGCGTGTGTAAGGAACTGGAAGCAAGCAGAACACGACTATTTCTAAAGCACGCAGGTCCATCTGCTGTTAAAAATTAAGCTCAGAATCGATTCAAGAGAGAATCGCGATGCCTTCGGAAAATCTCAGAATCATTTCGCGATTTGCGATGCATCAATTTACTGTCCCAGCCCTAAAAGTGATTTTGTGTGGGAAGTGAAAGTGATCCCTTTGGGATAGCACAATAAAGCGAGGTTCACTTGCAGAATGCAAGCTTCTAGAGGGCACATAAGTCTGAAATAATGAATTGGGTGCAGAGCCAGTGGTGGTTTTGTAGGCAAACATCAATGACTTGAATTTTATGCGAGCAGTTATTGGTAGCCAGTGCAAATTTAGCAATTGTGAATGGTTTCTGTGTTGGTAAGCAATTTTTTATTCAGTGTTTTCATAAAAGCATGTTTCACAGTTTTCATTTTGTTACAGAAAAAAAATACACATTCGGCCAATCACATGGGAGGATAGACTAGGATCATACCATTATGTGAAAGAAGGAAGGGGGTACACGCTCCGAAGATAGCGAGTGTAGTGGTAAAGACCAGGTACACAGAGCGACTGAGAGAGAGATGGGAGAGCCGGATTTAATAATAATAATAATAATAATAATTCCTTACAGTTATGTAGCGCTTTTCTGGGTACTTAAAGCGCTTTACATAGAAAGGGGGAATCTCCTCAACCCCCACCAATGTGCAGCATCCACCTGGATGATGCGACGGCAGCCATAGTGTGCCAGAACACCCACCACACACCAGTGTAGCGTCTGCGTAGAATCATGCATGATCTTTGGGTTTTTATGGCTTAAGAGACCCTTTTAGCCTTTTGACATTTGCATATAATTTACAGTTCTTGTCAGAGACTTTACGTTGTATGGGGGTTTAAATTGCCAAATGGTTCCCCGCCATCAAGGAGATTCTAACCAGTTCCCTCCACTATCATCTCCCCCATCTGACTTCAAACACTGTCCAAAGAGCTGTAAATGACCCCGATGGGCCTGGCTGGCCAAGCAAACTAACACACACACACACACAAACACACACACACACACACATAAAGACCGTTATCAGTTATAGTTAGTCATAAATATTTCCCTTTTTATAGCTAAAAAAAAAACCTACACCAGCTTATTGGTGGAGAGGAGACAGAGTGATGAAGCCAATCAGAATATGACAAGTGCGTTGGTTAAAGGGGTCATATGATGCGATTTCAAGTTTTCCTTTCTCTTTGGAGTGTTACAAGCTGTTAGTGAATAGATAAGATCCCTAAAGTTGCAAAGACTAAAGTCTCAAACCCAAAGAGATATTCTTTATAAAAGTTAAGACTGGTCCCTAGCCTAGCCTAGCCTAGCCTAGCCTAGCCTAGCCTAGCCTAGCCTAGCCTAGCCTAGCCTAGCCTAGTCTCGTCTCGGTTCGGTTCCTGATCTTCGCCTGTTTTCCTGGATTTATCCCTTTAGTCTTGCCCCTTCTGATTCTGTTCGCCGTTCATTGACCTTCGCTCGCCCTAGGATTATTCTTGTGTCTTGCCCGCCATTTACCTGTTTGCCCTTGTTCGACCTTGCCTGTGTTTCTGACCTCTCTGCTTAATAAAGCTTTGCAAATGGATCCGCAAGTCTCACGTCTTGTCAGCCCCGTTACAGAATACTCGGCCACACAAGGATCCAGCAGCTTCTCATATGGACATTGGCCAGGTATGGACACTGCAAGGCTGTTGTTAGCCCTCGAGCAAGGCACCCGCTCGCTCGAGGACTACATTCAAGAGTATCTGGACATTGCCTATGACTCTGATTTACCGGACTATGTTTTGATAGATTTCTTCTGTACTGGCATTAATCAACCACTAAAATTTAAACTCATTCACGAGGGTCCACGTTCATCACTGAG